TAGGCAGTATTGGTACTGTAAACACTAAAATCACCGCGCCTAGTTCCGCATAGGAACAGAAGGAGAACACCAGTAGTTGTGTATTATGCACAGAAGCCCGATGATAATAACAGGCCCAGGACGACCGGCAAGTCCTAGGCCTTCGCGCGCGTCTGTCCGCTAGCGTGATGTGGGCGTGAGTGAATGCACGTCATGTGAGAATGAATCACTGGCTGCTTAATAATTCGATTGGCCGATAGCAGTTTGTGGGGCGCATGTGATAAGCTTGAAATCTAGCAGCTCGAGGACTGTGATCTACTGCGCTTCGTGACGCTAGGAGAACTTGGAGACCACTTCCATATCCTGACGGGCTGAACCGAGAACGGTTTTGAGTAGGCCTCCTCTTCGACATATACAATTGGGTAACGGTTTGATGTCGAGGGTAGTAACACTGAGCTCGTGAGGTTGGCGACGAATAACTTGTCCAAAACACCTCAATAGTCTTTCTTAGATGGCCTGGGATATCCTTGTGATGTCCTCGCAGCGAGTGCGAACTGTCCTGTTTGAGAAGAAGTTGGCATACATCACTCGAGGGATGGTCCCCAGACAGTAGTGGTAAATTACCTAAAAACTCCTTTCATCTTCCACGCGCACTGCCCAACATTTACAGTCATAGGGGGGGGGGAGGAGACAGATCGCACAGCTGCACGGTGTGCCTGAACCTCCGTAGAAATGGAAATATCGCCGGGTCCATAGGCACTTTCTAGGGCTGGAGAAAACTCGTCAAGCTGCGTCAATTTGGCCGATAACGTCAACCCTTCTCCGTCCATTTGGCAGAAACCTCACTTTTGGGTAATTCAAACTGTCTACTTATTCAGGTTTTCAGCAATTAATCTCGGGAGGTGCCTTCTCTTGGGCAGAGATGCAACATGAAAACACTTTGGGTTTAAGCAGTGTTTATACAAAAACCGACGGATTTAGCGACCTCGTTCATCCATGACACCATAACCTGTGAAGCGCAGAAGTGAGAATGCTCGATGCAGAACTGGCTCGGAACAGTCAAATATACGCCAACGCCCAACCAAAGAAATGGGAAAAGGAGTAAGTGCCAAACCAGAGAGCAGTGGACGCAAACAATTTCGAGGCAACAGATGCGCAG